CGAATTTTCGTCCGTTCGGCTTGATCCTTTATGAACGTGCACGATCCACTCGGAATGGAAAGTCTTTAAGTTCGTTTTGCCGGGCTTAAACGGCGTCAAATAATACAATAATTGTCCCTTTTAAGAGTCGAAAAGGTACATTTTTAAGAAATTTGTCTAACCGGTGATATTGTAGTCGAGAAACGGCTTGTTGAGGCCCGAGTCAGTTTTGTCCTGGATTCAGGACATCCCAGTGGCGTGGCAATCTTGAATCCTGGCTAAATTTTTCAAAAAATCAGTTTTCCATAGAAAAATCATTTTTATTAATTAATTTTAAAAATTTCTATTAATTTTTTTCTATAGATATTAATTGTAAAATAATCAGACCAGTTATAAGCAAAATTTATTGAATAATATTTGAAATTAGAAAAATAGTTTTAATAATATTAAACAGTTTAGAAATAAAACCTTTTTATATAAAAGTTTGATTAAGAAGAATTCATGATTCGTATATTAATTTAAAAAAATCGCAAATAATGCAAATATTTCTGGTTGCTTTACGCCAGTGTATGGAAGCTTTTACAATAGAGATCCTCAGGGTAGACCGCCTTTTGTGAAGAATAAGTCGGAATAACTCGAAAATCACTCCATAATGCTGGATTCCCAACAATAGAAGGCCCTTTAGGAACTTCGTGACTGACTGAAGGGATGTCCAAATGTATTCATCTCCCTGGCGAAAATAACACCAGTGTTGGAGGATCGAGAGGTTCCTTATATCTACTTCCTCCTTTTCATTTTTGCAAAGAAAAACTTATGGCTCCTTGGACTTATTTTGATTACTTTTATTAGGCTCATTGAAATGATTACAATTTAAAAAAGAATCAGATTTAGGTAATACCTCAGGGCTTGAAAAATGAATGGTACTTAATTAGTTGTCGACTTAATGATTTAATGATTAATTAAAATTTAGACTTCTATGCTATATAATTGTGATTTTTCGCAGTAAATAGAATCATTTAATAAAATTTGAAAATCTTTAAGAAAATCTGAAAGACCATTGGTATTTTTGAGCCAAATTGTGATGCCCTTGAAAGGAGGAAAAAGTGTGTCTAGGATCGGATATCTAATCCCCGCGTGGAAGAGCTTGGCCGCAGCGTTGAAAAGCCTCCCCCACCCTGATGAAGCGGCATCAAATATTTGACAATATTTTCAAAAGTTTCGAAAACGTAACCCAACACTGCACCACTCTTGGCCGAGATTAGGGTCGGCCCAATGGAATTCTTTTATGCGGTGTAAAAATCCGTCTGATAGAGGCTCGTTTTCTGTTCGGCTGCCACGGCTGATCGTATCACGTTCCGTTTCCTGAGGGACGCGCAACAGGTTAGATCTGCGACTTGATCAGCACGATAATCTAAATGGAAAATTGTATTGAATCAGCAGCAACATAATGAAAGTTTTTCAGGTAGTTGGCTACCCGTATAATGATAGTTAATGCTCGTAATTCGAAACGTGCCAGCTATTTTTTTCGATCCTCTTTGAAAATGTACCTTTCATCGTTCCTCTTTTGTTGCGCATGTGTCTCTGTTTTCGCATTGAAAAATTGAAGATTAACTGTTTTTGAGAATTTTTATTACATCCTATCATTTGGTTTATTATATAACAAAAAATAGAGCCCTTCGAGTACCTCTAATAAAATTATTTTCTTAATGTTTTTATTAACATTAAAATTTCTGAAAATCCACCATTTAAAAATATCAATTTTTATAAATAAATTAATTTCATTTATCTATAAAGAATGCAAATATTTAGATGCTCTGTTTTTCTTGATATTTTCTATACAACAAAATTGAGTGTCTTTAATTACCTTCGTGTGATTAAGTTTAATCGAAAACTTTACACCGTGGTAGGGGTAGTATAGTAACAGAGGTGAATGCTGTCATACAAGTTCTCCAGGAAAATAAGATTAATTTGCGAAATCCTGTCATTAATAAAGGTGTTCACGATTCATCGGTCGACATTCAGACCTTCAGACCACAAAGGGGAACAAGGTATCGCGGTATTAAATGACAAGACACGCAATCACGGTGGAGATCGAATAAACGGGAACAAAGAGGGAGACGGATGACAGAGAAAAATGAACAATGTACGATGCTTTACAAATTGTAAAAAAAGAAATAATAATAAGATAATTCAAAAAATAAATTATACAGAAATTTGATTGAAAACAACAGATCTGTAGAAGCCATGAAATTAAAGTCATTTTCAAAAAATTTCCAGAAACATATTTGAATTTAATTAACAGAGACTGTCAGATGTTGCATGTTTCAAAATTGATTATTTTATAGAGTACAGGTAGGACCCATTTTTTTTTATATCTATATTTATGGAGTCCCTAAGGGTGAAGGGCATGGTCCTTCAAAAGGTCGCCATCTAGCGATGTAGGGCTAAACCATGCAGTTTGGGGAAGTAACAAGGGCAAATAATAGATGGTGCATTGGAACGTTGCAGAAATTGCATCACAAGGATGCAATTCGTCATTAGGTATTCATTAAATGATTAATAGCAATCAACAGTAAAGATCAATATTTTTTTTTTAAATATTATTGTATTTAGTATTATTTCACCTTTTTATTACTTTTGGATAAATGTATTTAGAAAGGAATAGATAAAGAAATAGAACTTAAGTGTTTAGATATGTGCTACTTTTTATTGATCTCTACTACTGAAATTGGAAAAGCACTTGGTCATCAGCACACAATAATTTGTACTTCAGCAACAATTTTTACAATGTATTAATTAATATATTAATATGATTATTTATGTAATATAGAAAATTTATAACATATTTAAAAGGTGAAGTATAAATTATTACTCAGATTAAAGAATTATTCTTTAATTCAGAAGTGAAGTAAATAGAAATTTTCAGTAGATTTAAAAAAAAAACTTTGAACTTTATAAGAAACTTTACAACTATTATTAAATTGTTATATTTGCAATAGCTTCATTCTCTATACATACCTTTAAATTCTACTGTTTTAAATAAATCATTTGGAAGGGATATTAAGAATAAAAATAAAATTTCAAGTTCACACAGTTTATTTATCGAATATACTTATAAGAAACAGCAGTTTATAAACGCAAAGCGAAAGAAATTGGAGCATGCTGTCCAAAAAAACGAAAGGAGACAAAACGAAAACGCCATACAATCATTATAAAAGTGTGAGTAAATCTAAGAATAAAAGGTGCACAATAAAAAAAATCGAAGGAAACACAAAATTTCGAGATCAAACAAAGAAAAATTACAAAATTTCGCACACAAAATTCAACTTCCTCGGTCTATTGGCAGAACTCGATCGATTCTGCTTGGAAAATTATTCATTGTATCACAAGTTATCGCTCGAGCTGTGATTTAATCATTTTTATCCTAACTTACAATCAATCTTAAATCTTCTACATTTATCACAGTGTTTCTCTAGAAACTAATATTGCAATTTTTCCGGAAGACATTGATTGAGATCAATGATACATTACAATAATTTCCTCTGTTTAAAGCACTTATCACAGTTCCTTTACTACCTTAATTATCACAGTTTCCATGATTCATCACAATTTTCTACGCTTACATGATATACAATCTTTCTGTCGCGTATCACAGTTGTTCATATTATAGAATATGCACTGGGCGGCCTATGTCGTCGAACGAAGTTCGATGATATTAAATCTACGATATTCTGTCGTTAGACTTAAACCTAGTATCACAGCTTTTAAGTCAGTCCATCGTTACTCTCTAACTTAAAAGAATCTTAAAAGTATCATTGCAAACATCCTCTTAGATCTACGATTAATCTATCCAGATACTAATGCAATTAAAGCTCCGAACCAGGAGTTACGTGAACCTTAAGATCTTAACTTACGAGAAAGACATTGAAACTTAAAGCTACCTTAAACTCGGCGTACAAAGTGGAAGACGGTATTGATTTATCTAACGATCTCACGAAACGACGTCGTCTTCGATCAGGATCCATCACGATGTCAGTGTCTCATTTTCATCGCCAGTTCCCTCAGCTCGTTCTCCAGATTCTCGTTGTTCAAGTTCCTCAGTTCCTCCTCGTTCAATTGCAGTCGGCTGCCCTCCGTTCTGCCATTTCGACGAAACTTGGCGCAAAGTAGTCGAATGGCCCTCTTGATAGTTCGGCTGGTGATCAGCGTACTGTCAATTCGTCGATCAGTCATCGAACTGACGGTCACTCTGGAGATCTGTCTCTTCATGGTGGCGCCGAAGAAGTAGAAAAACCGGTCGCGATTCCTCACGTTTCTCTGCCGGACTGGTGGTTGTTTATCAAAGATCTTTCGCGTCAATGCGCCTTGGATCTTTGTGTATGTGTATAGGTTTTTGTATAGGCGGGTGGTACTTGTGTGTCGGTACTAACACAGGAATGAGAGAGAGGAGAACGGAAACGGAACACGTGCACGAGTCTGGTGGATTCGCTTGTATCGGTTGTGAAACGCACGTTTGAGTAGGTGTGATTGAATGTGAGCTAGGATGAGGAGTCTTCCTCTTATATAGCCGAAGGGCGGCGCATGCGCGGTGCCGAGGAGAGCCGAGGGTGGAGACAAGGTTCTTTCGTACAGGTACGTGCGTGGGTTCGTGTGCGCAGAAGGGCAGGTACTTTCCACCCCTTCGGTATTTGCCCACCCTGTGGAAAAAGGGCGAGCAACCGGCGGTTATGTAATTTGCATTTCACGTGTTGCCACTGGATTCCTTTGGCAAACTCTTTTGTTTTGTATTGTTACGTTTCCCCCATTGCGGGAAACGGGGTAAAATTATAATATGAAAAACATAGGAAATGATATTGAGATTATTCGTATTTGCAAGTATAAAATTTTAGAAGAATAAAATTCATTGATTCATTACGTATCAACGTATGCATTTTAAATATCCACCTAGTGGCGCGCTATTGTACTTACGACTCACCGCGCATGCGCGCGCAGCGATTAGCGAGGGAAAATTTAGTAACAATGGCGCATTATGTGAGGGAGGTTGTTATCGCGAGTGATTAATTCATATTTCAAGTATTGCATAAGTGTTCGGTGTTCCTTCAGAAAATCGTTTAATTTTCGTATCCCGAGAGCAATAAAACGTGCATGCAATAAAGATGTAAATTGAGAAAAGAACAAAAAGCGGGAACCAGGGAGAGAAGAATAAACGGGACTGACATTTGCGTTCAGCTCGAATTACGCGCGACTCGAAAGGAAAGGTGGATCGTAACGAAGACGAATTAAAGGAACAAAAAGTGTTCCAAGGAAAAGAAAATAAGAAGCTCAGGTACACACGAGAAGGATAAAGCGAGAGGAGAATGAACGATTAGCGAGGTGACGAACGAGAGCAAAAGAGAAAAGAAAGGTTAGCCGTGGCGTACGCGCAGCACGAGCTGCGCACGATACAACATAAAGACAAAAACCCGCGCGTATGAGAAGAAACAGGCTTAGTTAGCAGAAGAAAGTAAAGCGATGGAGAGAAAAAGGGAAATAAAAGGGGAAAAAAGATTACGGAACCCGTGTAGGGAGATAGAACGAGTCGGGTAACCTAAATGAGAAGGACGGATAATATCAAGAAAGAAGAGGGAAAGTAGGTGTTTTATCGTGGCATACGCGTTGCACGAGCTGCTCCTTGTGTAACAGACAAAGATGGAATGTCGAATTGAAAGAAGTCGACAGAATACAGGATAGTGAATGAAGAAAAGGACAGAAATCGTCGAGAGACCGAAGAAGGAAGAAGGGAAAATAGGTACTTGGTGGCGCACGCGCAGCACGAGCTGCGCACGGTACAGAGAAAAAGATGCAGACACGATAAAAGGAGGATGGAGAGCACACGAAAAGGCAAAAAGCTGTCGGAGGAAGCAGCATGAACGATGAAGGAGAAAAAGACACGTGGCGGGAGCAAGGTAGAGAAGACCGCTCGTTTCCGGCGTACGCGCAGCACGAGCTGCGCACGGTAGCACTTGGCGCATGCGCGGCACATGCCTGGACTCGGATCAGCGAAACGAGTGCGAGAGAAGCACGTAGCGTGGTTCGTGCTGAAGGAAGAAAGACACAGACGCCGACATCGAGAAGCAACAAAGGATGGAGAGCATCGTATGTGAAGGTGAGTGAAAGAGCTGAAATATCTCTAAGAAAGAAAAGAGACGAACTGATAGTCGATATACTGGCACGTCTGTGCGTTGAAATGCGAAGGGAAAAGGATTATGTAGGTGGGACAAAGACACGTGTCGATTTGACAAAAGGGTGGGGATAGAAGGATAACTTGTTGCACAGAAGGTCGTATTGCCGCGAACTTAACCTTACATTCAACATGGTACGGAACATCAACCCCATTGTGATTTATTTACTTCTTCCAATTTCTTTTGCAAATCTTACATTTATCGTATTCCCAAATCAATAATCATTATTGCTCCTAAAAGTATCCAAAAATACTATGTACTCGTGTAAGGTATTTGAGGTTAAGTTCTTATATTTTAATTTGCATCAAAATAGTTAGCTGTCCATTCGAACGTGTAATTAAACAGTCATATCTAGATGCTTTCATTTTGAAATGTTGTAAGAAATTCGATTCCGTACATGACAGCTTCTGCGGGAGTAGGAAAAAGGAACTTGCTTGCATATAAATAAAACGCCTGAGGGCTGCTTGTATTAAATGCAAGTGGCGCGAGGAAACGCGTGAATAATGCTCTTATACACCGTATTACCAACGTCAGTCGATTTTACTTAAATCGAACTTCGAATTATAACCGGTAGCCAGAAGCTATTACCATGGTTCGATTAGATTCCCTATCGATGGAATGAGTGGTAAAATCGACTGATTGCGCAGATAATCCGTTCGAATAGCCCGGTTCGATATATCGATCATTAACGCCTCATCGACCTCGAACGTCCAACGCGCATGTGCATTTCTTTTCAACAAGTATTTTAATTTATCTGTTTGATAGGATTTCCTAACTATTTCCTTTTAGACAACTATTAAGTTTTCATGCTCCATTTAGAAATAAATTTTCTAACTTCCTTTTTAATTTATGGTAGCGTTAATTATAAAATGACATATTTTTTTAAATATTAATGAAGAAAATTATTACTCAGAAATTACCAATTTTTTAATTATATTTATCACGTATAAATAAACGCAAAATTTACTTATCAAAATGTTAAATTTCTATAATTTACATTATCTAACCATATTCTGGTTGTTAAATTATTTTATATTCATTGTGAATTATTCTAGGATTATTCAAGGTAATTTAGCTTCTGATTTACTGAACATCTTTTAAAGCTTCGTAATTAGTTGAAACATAAATGGGATCAAGTCCCAAGATAAATGGGATTAAGCTCGCGACTGAATCGTCGGAAAATATGCGTTCAATGCGAAACGCATCCGTATTTTACTCGCTTGAAATAGCGAGACATGTGAATATAAAGACTTGGAAGAAGGTATTCCGCTAATGGTCGAGTCTCCGCCAAGATGAATGGGACGCGAAGGGTGGTAAAGGGGTGCAGTGGGTCCCTGCAGTCGCAATATTTAGATTCCTGACCAACCGCACGCATCTGTCGGTCCTTCGATATTTCCCTTCCTTTTCCATTGCAATGTATGCATTTACGTAGAAATGCAAATGAATGCAGTTGCACATTTACCGTATATTCGTAGACTCTGATTATTGGTTAATCCCCAGAGTCAGAATGTATTAAGTCCACTTTTATGAAAAAATAACATTTTACATGTTTCTTCCCGATGGTAAAAATTATTTCATTCTAAATCATTTAGTTTAGAAATAATTAAAATAAGTTCATATCTTGTTAGAGCACCTGGTAGCTTGCAAAAAGTTTCAGGGCCAACAAATTTCAAGTCCAGTGTTAAGTTAAAATAATTTTGTACTCGATATCTTAAGTCAGTACACAATTTCAAAATGACAAACCTTTTGCACCTTTGATTATCTCTCATCTGAAATTTAAAAAGTGTAACTTAATGCACTCTGTCCAGTGTCCAGATATGAAATCATAATTTCTTCTTTTTCAAAAGATAAGTGATCTCTGATGGAGTTTAAAATTTCCAATGAAGTCGCACTAATAAATAACCAACTTGATTTCATCCCTGTACTTAATAAAAACGCTCCAATCAGCTAATTAGAGTATCGAATGCATTAGCATGGAGATTCGCTAAACTGGCGATCGAAACGCAGCCGCGTATCGTATATTTACATTTCACCCTGACGCATACGCATGGGGAGTAGGCGCGCGCGTGTAAAGCTATCTAGCCACCACTTAGCGCGTGTACACGCACGCACCAGCACAAGGTAACGCGCGGGTGCGTTTTTCGAGGGTGTGTTGATCGGCTTCGCTCGCTTGCCTGCCATCGGCCCCAACAGCGTGTGTATATCTCTTGTAGCTGGCAGCTGGAGGTTTCGCGCGTGAGAACTCGGTGGCTCCGAGGTTCCCTGGTTTCTCGTCGCCACCTGTCCTCGCGTTGCTCTCTCGAGGCGACCGCCAACCCTCTTTCCATCGTCCTCCTTTTCCTTCGGCTTCGTCCCTTCGCCTTCCACCTCCCTCGCCCGCTGCAACCCTTCGCGAAGGTAATCACGCCTCGTCAGGCCCGAGGGGCGGACACGGGAGAAAGTATCGGCATGTTTTGACGTTATGCTAATGCCACGTGTGTGTCGTTCCACGGAACAGAGGGAGCGGGATGAACGCGCGGGATGAATGACGATGGCCATTTGCCAAGGACGATCGTGCGCTTTGGTCGGTATCGTTGTTTTTAGGGACTTCGATCGGAGATGGTCGTTGCGGGAGAGAATTCGTGGGTCGGATATTAGCTGGACAGAATTACTTAATCTTTTAAAAATATTTACAATGTGGTATCTGTAATATAATGTAATTAAATAATTTAAAAAAAAAGTAGAAAGAGATGGGGTACCGTTACTATGATGTGAATAATTTGCAAATTAATTATTTGTAGCCATAATAATAATCTAAAATTAATTTATTTATTTATTATCCCTGTTAATTGAATTACAAAACAGTATCTTAAAAGATAATTAAATGTCAATGTTCCTGATAAACAATTAAGCTGCAATAACCGTTCACAAAATTTTATGATTAAAGACTCAGTTACATCGTTGTTAAACTGTAGAAAGTTGCGGAAAACTTAACCAGTTCATAGGCTATTAAAAAAATAAAGAGAATGTATCAATCAGGAGTAAATGAAATTGATACACTTTTTAAGAGTTGAATTGTACAAATTTCATGATAACGAGCGTGTAACTGATTCAATTATATTCTTGTTGAATCGTAAGAAGATTTATTAGGGATACGTAATTTGTAGTATGTTAAAAGAAAATGATTGAATGGGACCAATAAATTGATCTTAAAATTGATACATTTACGAGACGAGTGATATTGCTTTTAAGAAGTGGGTCATCAGAAGGGTAATAATATTATTTCAACAATTATCCTGAAATAAACGCATTGAATAAAAATTATTGGATAATAAATTGAACTTCTCCATGCATGTTCTGTAAACGTATTTTGTAATATACGTTACAAGGAAAAAGTTAATTTCATTTTATACGACTTTTTTATTCGCTTTCACTTGTAAAACAATCATAAAATCCAAAGTAAAATATTATACTTAGCGTTTCAAGAACTTTTCATCTTTTGATGTCAGATACATTCATTGCTATGGGTGGTTACATTTCAACTCTGTAATTCATAAAGTACCAAAAAATCGATGGTCGGTCAGAACGTGATGTAATTATGTAAAATCACATCTTAACGTGTCTCTTAGTTTTAATGAATCTCCAGTCTCCAAGATTCATAAGTACTAGAGGAGCTAACTAATTCTGCACCTGTCCGACATTAATTTTTTCTTAATACCTTCGACATCAATAATTGCTCATATTATAGAGGCTCGTCCACCCTTTCTTCAACTCAGCCCATTAGGACTCATTAATTCATTAGGGAACAGATTTTTCTTACACTCCAACTTGAAATTTAGTTAATTGAATTACAAGGGAAATTTGTACCAAATATATATAATTTTAGATAAAAAATAATTAGAGATTTAAAATTGAGAATCATGGCCTTCGTAATTAAATTTTTGTCTGATTCATTTATAAGAATTTTGTTAAGTACTTAACCTTTAAACAGCGGAGAGAATATTAATCTAAAGTTAAATGTATAATTTTTAAGCAAACGAGTTTCATACATTGGAAGAATAATTTTTCAAACAACCATATAAAATTTGGAATTAAAATTGCAACTCTCTCCATGGCCCGCTATGCGAGCGTATGGTAAAGAATGACTCAGGGACGTATTAACAGCAGTATGATAAGTATCCCAAAACAAAATTACTCCTTCATCTTATCGACTACCTTGGTGTATTTCGTTTCTTCAATTGCCTCCATTAAGTCTGTTGAGCGAGGAGGCAATTTCGAGGTCGACAATTGGAAACATTTGTCCCAGGCCGGGTCTTTACTCGAGTTTCAGCCGGAGGGTCCCGAAAATGGTAAGCGTGCATGGAACGTGGTGGTCGTGTGCGAGAAACGTGTGCGCCTTTTTCACGTCAGCATCCCCCGGTGCACCCTGGCCGGTTCCCTCTTTTCTGAGACCTCACCGGGTCCATGTAGCCCATCGAATGAAATTGGGCCTTATAACGGTCGACGAAGAAGCGTAGAGGACAAGGGGGAAAAAGAAGTCGTACCGACGACCAGTGTCGCCGAAACTGGCAATGAGAAGTTGGCCCCGAAGAAACGGAAATTGTGCCTTCGCCCGAAGGCGTATCGTGCTGTAATTTCGGAACAGAGAGACCGTAAATTACCTGCGGATGTGGTAATTTCTCGGGATCCACCCGGGCCACGTCCACTTGTGTAAACTCGCGCCAATGACAAGTCATTGAGGTCAACGATAGGGAAGGGGTTAAGTGGATTTAAAAGATTCCACGACGAGAGTGGCACCTCTTGAGGCGCGGGAAAAAAGCGCGGGAAAAAGATTGATGCCTCCTGCTCCAGAGGCGCGTTCGCAATTAACACGTATAGTGGATGTAGAAAGTTTCAAAGGATAAAATTTTGAATTACGGATTAATTTCTCGAAGAGTACAAGGAA